TCCCACTCAGTGTACAAAGTGCATTGAAAATCAGCTTTATTCAAAGCTATACCCATAAGTATAAGAGATCGTAGTGTTTCGGTCTGATTATTTAACTTCCTTATTGCTCCCTCCTGGTACAGTGCCTTGCAATATCATTTTGGATAGGCTGTTTGTTCATGAAATATGCCCATACCGACTTAACGTTCGTGTTTTGCCTATGCACAGTTGACTCTCAAAAGAACCAATCAGCACCATTTAAAAAAAAAAAAATTCGAAAACTACTTTGCAAATTATATATTTTGCATACCGACATTGAAATCGATCTCCCCTTGGTTAAAATCTTACCCTTATGCTACTTTTATTGTACTTTTTAACATAAGATTTTGTGGTAATATTAGTTTAAACACTATGAATCTGTTTTCTTTATGGTGCTAGAAATACTGCTCCGATTTGTCTGCTGGAACAACTCTAGCAAAAGTGACCTCGGCCTCTATGATGGCCTTCCTAGTCGCAGAAAAAAGGTCGTATTAAATATCGTAAGTTTACACATGAATTGCTAGTCAGATCACGTCTTTACATAATTATAGGGACACCAATTGGACATAAAACATTGAAAACTGGACATTGGACTTTGGGCATTGGACGTTGGGCATTGGACATTGGACATTGGACATTGGACATTGGACATTGGGCATTGGACATTGGACATTGGACATTGGACATTGGACATTGGACATTGGACATTGGACATTGGACATTGGACATTGGACATTGGACATTGGACATTGGACATTGGACATTGGACATTGGACATTGGACATTGGACATTGGACATTGGACATTGGACATTGGACATTGGACATTGGACATTGGACATTGGACATTGGACATTGGACATTGGACATTGGACATTTTCTAAAACGTCAGTTACCAAAGTATTATTTAATTTCATACATCACTTTCTTATTCTGAGTGTGGGTTGGAGGAAACGACATTGAAAATAAGGGACGTGGGTGTGGACGGACAAGACGGTGGCCAATCTGACGACATTATGGGGTCCAGGCAAGCCGAACAGGGCCATTGATAATTGCTTGATGATACACAGCAACGGAAAACTAAACGACGCCTTTTGCACTGTACCATGTCCATTCGTTTGTATGGAGAAAGGTCAGTTATCACCTGTGAACAAATTGGTAGACATTGCTATTTTTAACACGAAAGTCAGGAGTTCGGAACCCGGGGTGAGACAGTAGGTCGTCCCTTGACCGATCTGCCCCTCAGGTAAAAAACCAGGTGTCTAGTGCCTGGTAACATGGGTGAGAGAAATGCTTGGTTCTTCATCATGTTCCAGATAACCAGGTTGATGAGCTAAACCTATAGCTGGCAATCATTAGAACTTATACTAAAGCATGGTCGATAGTTTTTAAACACATTAAACATAGCTGAAAAAATGTATTTATAGAAATATACAGTAATGATTTAGTTATACTTTAAATAAATGGTTAAATAGGCGGTTAGGGATTCAAGATAATTGCTAAATGTTTCTAGTGTGATAAACACTATTGTTTTAAAGAAAAAAAAATACCTGCGTGCCATTGACAAATGTGAAAAATATGTATTTGATATTTAGTGTATTGAAATGCGGCAAAGGAATATGCCTTTGTTGGTACTAAAATTATGAATTACTGCAGGTTATGTTTATGTATATGTATTTATCAAGTATTATCATTTATTTAACCTTACGTGAAATTTTAATAACTAAAATATAATAATATACCCGGCTGTTCTAAGCGAATAATATTTATGAAAATGGATTTGGCTCTCAACAAGAGTTGATATAAACTGAGATATAGATAGCCACTGTCAACATAACGGTATGCATATAACGATGGCACCCTGCTTTACATAACAATAACAGGACTATTGTCTGAAATCTTAACTTTCGGAATAAGTAGCTAAATAACCAAAAATTGTGTAAATAGTTTTAATTACAAATGGTTTCTAAAAATAGTTACTGGCGCACTTGCAAAGTATTTTTTAACACTGAAAAAAAGATAGCTGAAGGCTTCGCCTGATGGAATAAAAGCTAATATATATATATACAGACATATTACTATCTTATAAATTGCCTGATGGCAAATTTTATCGAAAAAAAATTACATTTTAAAATAGCATAAAATCGTACTGGTTTTTTTTTTCAATTGGACATTATGTAATAAATATTTATCTAATCAAACTGAGTAGCCAAGTTTATAGTTTGCTTTATCTGCCAAGACAGTTTTATAACTGAAATATTTTTTTAAATTTGATTTCTCAGAGAATGCGACGCTAGATTCAGGAGTATTTGCTTTTACAGTGGGGTTGTCTAAACCACTGAACATTACTGAGAAAGATATCGTGGTTTTCGATAAAACATTCACAAACATTGGTAACGCTTATTCAAACACTACTGGAGTCTTTACTTGTCCCAAAGTAAGTAGTTGTCTATGATTAAGCTGCAATTATAATTTATTGAGTTTACCAAAGTGTTGCTAAGGGGTCATCCATAAATGACGTCACGCTTTTTTGACGATTTTTACCTCCCCCCCCCCCTCCGTCACACGTCGTCACAAAAAGCCAAGCCTTCCCCACCCTAAAATGACGTCACACCTCAGCCTACAGCCCCCCCCCCCCTCAAAATTGCTGTTGAATGTTTCTTAAAACATCGAAATCTTTTAAAAATCTTGTCAGAACTCTGTCAAAATAGAGTATTTTGATAAATTCCTAGTTATATTTATTAAACCGTTTTATAAAACGCGAAATAACGGCTAAAACTCGTTTTTTAACGGCTTTTCTATAATGCTAAAACGTGACGTCACACCATCTGAACCACTCCCCCTCATCACACACAGTCACAAAATTACGGACACCCCCTCTTCCCCCTATGAGTGTGACGTCATTTATGACGACCCTAAGTACACTATTTTACTAGTATTGGTCCATCAAAATTATCTAAATTATATAAGGGCATGCATATTGTAACAGTTTCTTGGTCAAATTAAAGCGTTAACATGAGACTGTGTTAACTTACAGAGCTCTAAATAACTCTAATGTCAAAGACATTTTTATCACGACCCTTTTTTTAAACATGAGACTAGGGAACATTACTCACAATGAAACCGCAGCCATATTGATTAAATGTCATCACACTATGACCTAAATGGGACACTTGCCAGGTCATCCCGGCCAGTTCGAGAATTAACCGGCCAATGTACGAAATACACTGTCAATATTATGTTATATGCTTTTGCAGGCTGGTTTATATTTCTTTCAAGTCCATTGTGTTGCTAACAAAGGGAAAGCACTGAGTCTTGCCCTCGTTAAAAACAAGATGGAAGTTGTCTCCCTGTTTCACAGTGCAAATGAAGACACTTCTACTGCTGGTAATTATAGAACACATACAATAAAGGTGACGTTGTGTGAAGGGTGTGGTTGTGTGAATCCCCGAATTGCATTCTACATACAATCCAGTTATAGAAATTATATTTTGAATCCCCTTTAAAAAGTATATTGATAATTCAATTACGCCCTGCCTAAACAACTGCAGGAAAACTAAAACACATCAAATTTTTAAGTTTTTTTTTTAAACTACAAAAAAAAAAAAATGATGATGTCAATTAAGAATACCACATCGTTTTAAACCATTTTTCTAAAAAAATGCTTTCGTGTTAAAAAAAATGATTTTTTTTTCACTTCAAATCATACCAATCTTTTGCATTTTAGATTGAACAATTTAAATTTTTTTAAAAATCAGCTTTTGATACAATTTTACCAATATAGTTAAACAATGAGCTGTGTTATTTCAACCAGGTAACTCAGCATTTTTGCAACTTGCACAAAACGACCAGGTATTTGTTCAGGTATCATCCTGTGATGGTGGCAGTTTGTTTAGTGACGGCAGGAACATCGTCAACACGTTTTCAGGAGTTCGTGTGGCGGACTAATCATACTAGTGTAGCGTCATATGTTAATGATATATAGCTAAACACAACACTCATACAAATATTTAGTATAAATGCATATCTCTCTCTCTCTCTCTATATATATATATATGTATATATATATATATATATATATATATATATATATATATATATATATATATATATATATATATATATTAGTAGACTGTCTCACTAAATTTTAAATTAAACCACTTGATAAACCTATTTCATTACAATGTTTATCCATATATATATATATATATATATATATATATATATATATATATATATATATATATATATATATATATATATATATATATATATATATATGTATGTATGTATGTATGTATGTATGTATGTATGTATGTATATATATATATAAATATATATATATATATATATATATATATATATATGTATATATATATATATATATATATATATATATATATATATATATATATATATATATATATATATATATATATATATATATATATATATATATAGTGTAAACACACTGTTACAAATAGTTACAATATTGAATTTTTAATTTAATGTGTTAAATATAGTATATTGTTAATAAAGTTTTATGATATATAAACTGTTGTTTTGTATTATTTCTCTACACGCAATTTAATTTAGAAAAAAAAAAGAAAATTTTAGGAATAAAGGGTGAAAAAACGTATATAAAGATTTTTTTTTATTTTAATTTATTATGTGTAACACATTTATACCTCTCAAAAGAAAGTGATTGTCTCACCTTTGTTCTCACCTTTGTTGACCTCTTTTTTTCGTTTCGCTTAGGATTACAAGTTAAAGTAAGATTACATAAGATGTGTGTCTCTGTGTAAATTGTTTGTTTTATAGCATCGGATAACAGCCAACAAACTATTGCAAAAACACACTTTTTAAATATCATTATACAAAAATAATTCGCACGTGTTGTACTACAAATAGATTATTGGACAAAAGCCAACGTGACGTATTTTAGCCACGATAGTTTTCCCGGGAAATCTTACTAGGTCAGTGTGATCGATAAGTGATAACTAAAACATAAACAGACTTAGAGCAAACTTTACAATACCGCGTTTTATGATCAACGTAAGTTGTGTCTTATACCTTATACTTCTTATATGCATATATATATATGCATATATATATATATATATATATATATATATATATATATATATATATATATATATATATATATATATATATATAGTGTTACATCGAATATAAATATTTACAAACTGTTAGCGTGCAGGCATATTGATTTATCTAATGTTTACATGTAATAGATTGAGGATAAGACGTATAGCTTCTACTCCTTGTACCTGTGATGTTAAGATACTTCCTATACCTTGTTGGGCTCTTCAGGTTGTCTGCAGGTAGGTCTACATTGTTTATGTCTAGGTCTCTTGTATGCAGCCGTGTGTAATATACAGTCCTATTTAGTACGAGATGATGTATTGTTTACTAATAGAACGTTGTTAAATTAGATGATTGAAATAGTCTTTAGTCAAGATAGAGGGCTGAAAATCATGTTATGTTTTGTGTTTCTGGGTGTTTTATTGATCGTATTTAAATAATGGTGAGTAGTAAAACCTCAGATACTTTTATTATATATTTGGTTTGTACACATTACCTATGTATCGGTGTGGTCTAGCGGTAGAGCGCTTGTCTGCTAACCCGAAAATCTGAAATTTAAATCCGGGTCCAAGTCAGTGGAACGTTCCTGAGTCCACCCAGCTTTGATGGGTACCTAACTCATGTTAGGGAATGTATAGGTGGCTAGTCCTAGTGCTAACCACATTACCCGTTCATATTCCGAAAGTCAAGAAACATATGAACTCTACATCTTCTGCCAAATGGATCGCTAGGTCTAAAGAGACATCTTTATACACATGACCTAGTTGGCGTTAAGAGTATATTATAACTTATCATTGTTTCTAACGATTAACCCATCAAATGGTAACACAATTGTTGTTATTTAGCTGCATGTTATCCTGAGTGGTCCTTCTGTGTGGAAAACATACAGCAACGAGAGGAGACAAGTGCCTACTGTCAGTAAGTTTTCACTTAACGTACATCATCATCTTTTCCCGTTGGTGCCAAGACACACGGGGCAGATGAAGAAGAGTTCATCTGTTTCAATAGCCCCGGCATACAAGGGGATAATGTGCTCAGCACTATATCCATCCACCTTTATTTCCATAACGTGAGTCACGTACCCATCAGAGCTGGATTCGAACTCGAGACTTAACAGTCTATTTCTCCCTTATAATACATGTAATTGAACAGTAGATTTAAATACTAAATTAATTTGGATTCCAATATATATCATAGTTTATTTGATGTACCAAAACATACTTGTTTATTTAACAATTAATGCCAACAACCAGTAAAGTAACAGTAAAAATAATAGTAACATTAGCAGAGACTTTGAAAACGTTTTTAAAAATATCGTGCGTTCTTTGGCCTAGAAAGGCAAGTCATTCCCCTTTATGGTCGATCAAAGTTAACTTGAGTGTCTGCACTTACTATAAAGGCTAGATTATAATTAGCCAGCAACGAAATATCAAACAAAGACCTGTGGCAAACTTTAAAGCAACATGCTTTGGAATGGAATCCCCAGGGAAAAAGGAGGGTGGGCCGGCCAAGGAAGACATGGAGAAGAACGGTTGAAGAAGAGGCGAAAACAGCTGGGCTCACATGGGCACAGAAAAAGGGGGCAGCCCAAAACCGAGTCCGCTGGTGGTTGCAGCCCTTTGCTCCCCAGGGGCCACAAAGGAATGATGATGATGATGATGATCTATAATGTTATAAGAGAAACTTATTTATATACAAACTATATCCAGTAAATATACCACTTAAAATTTTAAATTTTAGTCGTTACCTTTGAAAATATATCATAATTGTCTAAATTGATATAAAATAGAAACAAAAATAAGTTTGCTGAAATTTCATTTATGGGATGACGTGGTCTAGCTAGACTATTAACCCGAAAGTTTCCAGTTCGAATCCATGTTCAAGTCATTAGAACGTCATTGAGTCCACCCAGCACTAATGGGTACCCAACTCACGCAAGGGCAACAAAGGCTGTGCATAGTGCTGACTACACTATCCTTTAATATGCCGAGGTCTTTAAAGCAGATGAACTCTACTTCATCTGCTTATGTGTCTTGTGCACGAATTGGAAAAGATGATGATATTCCATTGACGATCCTAAATGTTACTCTACTGTGTACGTGTTCTGGTTGTTAAGTAAATAATAGCTGTTGTTTAACTAATCTCCTTCCATTACAAGCCTTGCATATATATTTTAACTCCCCTACTTTAAGAAGTGATTAGCTTTATTTTAAATTATTATATACGAGCCGAGCCGCTATTTAGTTGTTTTATTTTCTACGTTTCAGTAATTCATAAGTTGTGAATTCGACAGTACCAACGCTGCCACTGAAAATATTTGCTTTAAAACACTATCAGTAGCTCGTTAAGGACGATAACACCCCCTCCTTTCCCCAACCCCTACCCCACCCCCCCCCCCCCCGTGAAAGTAAACTCTTCTTAGTTACCTCCCCTAAGTTTAAAATCGTTTCAAACTAAATTATCTGCCCCTAATAGCCTTCACTAAACCCGGCTCTACGATTGTAAACATTTAGCGTGAGCCACAGCTCACCAGACCATGTAGGGGTGGTAGGGAGCGCGCTTACAGCTTGGTGTTTTCTATCGTATCCAAGAAGAGAATTATATATATAGATATTTTTTTTAATTTACAAAAAGAAAACCACTACATTATACCAATATTTTTGTGTTCAATTAAATCGTAATGTAATGTGACAGTGTTATCGTACATTCCTGTATCACGGATCCACATGTAAACGCTCCACTCCCTGTCCCTACCAGTGATGTTGTGGAAACCGTCAGCTGCATCTTCCAGCAGTACCCGTGTGCCCCATCTGATCTAGAGGTACGGTCACTTCTTGCTGTGGTCAGAAGGAAACTAACGCTGCTGAATTTTGACTTGAGGGAAAAGTGTGGTCAGTGGCTGTTTAAGCTTTCATTCATACTCCTGTTTTATAGCTCTTTGTTTTAGAAAATAAATTATAGATCTAAAGCTGTATTAAACTAAAACAGACGCATGGAAAATTAAAAAATTATTACCACTGAACAGCTGTTTATTATGTTATTATTTTTCTGTGAGTTATTTATTTCGTGATTTTTGCAGGGTTTAATGTAACGGAAATTTTCAATCGTAAGTATAAAAGTCTAATTATTTTTAAAGAAAACAACATTTTTTTTTCAATTTTATGTTTTTCTTACAACCGTTCTTTATGATAGTTAATTTAATTCTCTTGTCTAAAGATCATATAAAAGAGTGTAATAGTATTAAACCTTTAATCAAATGTCATATAATCAATGTGATACAGAGATAGTAAGCAAAATCGAATTAAATTGCAAATGTTTTGAATGAAAAAAATGTGTAAAATTTAGAAAAAAAATAGCATAGCCTATGCAGAAAATGAATCTATTTAATGCATTCGTCAGCTACTAAAAATGTACTGCCTCTGTTAAATGCATCAATCTTTAAATTACATGACGACTATTAGGAGCGATTAAAACAGAAACTGAGTTGTTTGTTACTATAACAACACCACCCGACCACACCAACAGTCATGTTCCTCATGACTGTAACGTTTTTCTTTTAATAAATTTTTTAAATAAGTTATAATAGCTAATGTGTTTCAATTATTTCATATTGAGCCTGCAACTACAAATGGAGAAGCTGTTTACAGTACCTAACAACAGCAAACAAGGCAGGAAACATTTGCCAGTAAGTACTTGAATAGTTTAAACACGACTTTACATTTACAAAAAGTTCGCGAACGATTTATCTCAATTTAAATCACGTCTCAATTTTTTTTACAGAGGCATAAAATTATTCTGGGCGTGTGTTTACCGTACACCATGTAGGCCAAGCATTGTTTTTGAGGGTACCGTCTACTACGAATTGGAAAACAGAGTGAAAAGTTACCCGTATGATGTACAGGCTCAATGCGGTGAAGAGATTTTTTTATAAAACTAATTCAATTTATGCTCTAATTACAAGAAAAAAAAATGTTTTTTAATGATAATACATTAGTAGGCTTATGCTCCTTTTACTTCTAGTCGTCGTAATGCTACAATGTATTTTAAAATAATTCCTTAGGTTTGAGTTTTAAAGGAAGATTGGAAGGTAGGTTTGGTCTAAAGTCTTTTTATCATTTATTTTAACCCGTTATTTGTAAAGTCGATTTTTTAAAATAGTATACTTTTATAAGAATGATTTTTTAGCATCTTTTAACTAAAACATTGGTTACATATTGTGTAATTAAAGATGCTCATTTCAGTGTTGTTTTTTAAAATGTGTTACACCTCCACAGAATACAGGCAAAGCGACCCTAAAAACAGCGCCCCAGCAACTAAATCATCTCCACTTATTGCTCTTATGCTAATTACCATCCTGCATTTTCTTTTATACGAATTGTTCATCGTCTTATGAATGGCATTAAAATGTACCATATTCAATGTTTTTTTCCCTTTTTTTTCTTTTTAATAAAGAATGGACTTCTAAATCTATCTTAAATTTAAAAAAAACCACACAACCACTAGCAGACTTTAAGTATTAAGTGGTGATTCAGATTATAATTATTACATATATATATATATATATATATATATATATATATATATATATATATATATATATATATATATATATATATATATATGTATATGTATATATATATATGTATATATATATATATATATATGGTACCTTTTGCCTCGTGAGACAATGGATAACGACCAGATTTTAATACGATGTTATTTTCTTTTGATGTAGGCTCAGCTTCGGCTTACCATGCCAATTTTAGAATGCCAATCTATGCCACAATTATTGCACATTATTGTGGTTGGTACAATTCGGGCAGATGATTTCCTCCTTGTTTTCTCAGATTCTACTTCTGCTCTTTTTTCTTCGGCGATGAGGATGTCGATCCACAATTTTTTGTCTCAACAATATTCTTTCTTGGGCTAGCTGCCCCTCCCCCACATCTGTTCACTTATAACTTCAGGTCTCATTCGCGAACACCTCTGTAATTCATCAGGCGTCGTCCCTTGGGTCTTGTACCATTGGTAAGATCACCATAGATTGATGTTTATTTGGGATTAGATAATAATTATTAAAAAATAAAACATAATTTTTGTTATGCTATTGTGCAGTCATTTTTAAGGCTTGTTTGTTAAGCTTGTATTAAACTATTCACTGGAAAAATGGACGAAGCCATTTTACAATTCAATAGTTAAATAAACTCCGTTTTAAATATTTATTTATACTAAATGTCTACTGTTTTTATTATAAACGGATACTATTCAACAAAAATAAACGTGCATTACTGCAATGAGCATGCTCACTGTAAAATACAACACGTTCAAAACCTATTGAAGTGTATAATTCACGTACATTATTGGTCGCTGTAGATGATAGTTTCGCCTCCAATAGATCTAATTACGCGTGTCAGCTGTGTCTCGATGTCAACATGTATAGCTCATTGTTTTTTTATCATGCTCAAAGGTGAGCTCCCTTTCTTTCAGCGCTGAGTCAAACAAAGATTTGGGACCAGCTGACGTAAAAAAACAATGCCCTATGTCTTCGTCTTTCATTCGTTATCTCTAACAGGGTTTCGTTTTATATTTTACACAGCCTATTAATACAACAATGACCTGATTACGCTGACGGGTGGTAAAACATACGATTGCTAGCCCGAAAAGATAGAGTTCGAATCCGGATTCATATTAGTAGTTCGTGCCTAACCCCAAGTGGTTCTGATGGGAACCTATCTCATCTTAGGGAAAGTAAAAGTGGTAGGGCTTAATGCTGACCGCACTATCCCTTCACAAGCGGTCGTGCCTGAAACAGGAGAACTCTACTTCACCTGCCTCATGGACCGTCAGGTTCGGAAAAGTTTACTGTATTAATGGACACAATTCTTCCTCACTATATCACTTAGACAGTTATCTTTACCTCCAACCTTATGGACAAACTTCCCCCTCTTCAATGTCTTGTTTCAATCGTTAGGACAAGGTCTGAGCCAAATACTAAAACGTCAATATCTTTTATACCACGTCATTATTCCATACCCACTTCATTATTATTTTACACAATGATTTATTCGTACTCAAATACTCTTATACTCATAGCACACTTCACAACACATATCCGCATGTATACTCACTATCTAAGTCCCACTTTCTAAACTTTCACGAACGATACTCTGTTCGACAATAAGATGCTCATTGAAGACTTAGAATTTTGATATACAATGTTTACGTTTTACACTACAAACAAAGCATATCACCATAAACAAGCTGATAAGGTGTTAAATAATATTTATTTAATCTTCAAACCAACCAGTTTAGGGTTAAATATTTCATTAATTTCATTTCATTTTTTAATTCAATGTTCCAAATTTATGGATGCTAAAAAAGAAAAAAGAAAAAAAAATCTTAAATGCAATTTAAGACTGGCATTTACCCTCTTGGTACAACTTTTAACCTATTGGTACAACATTGACCCTATGGGCACTAATTGTCTTGACCAATGACCGGTCACCTTCATCGGCGGCGATCCAATTAAAATAGTCAAACCGGTAAGTTGTAAAGCCAGGTCTCTGGGAGGAAAACAAAATTAGTGTATTCGTGAAACATTGTCGGTGTAATATATCTTTTGATTAATGGCATTACACATTATCAAAGACTGTAAGACTAGAAAATGTAAGTAATTAATTTTAGTGAAATCCTTGTGCTACGTATTTGTCCAAATCTTTACAACGTGACTAGCAAAAACCAAAAGCGGGGTTCCAATGTTTTTGTTGCAGCAAAAATATTGGAACAACTCACATCACTTATAACACATGTAGTACGTACACATTTAATAATAATTAGTATTACCAAAACCCCTGTCTCAATAAAAAAAATCATTTTTGCTATAATTTAATTTTTTTTGCACCTGACTAAACCTATAACAGAATGCGTAAAGCTCATTACAAAATATATTGATAATGAGAAAGTTTAAAAATGAAAACAAGCTTGCACATAACTTTAAGTTTCCACTTCACAGCAGCGACATCTTGAGTAACCTCAACCTATGAGAATTATAAAAGTGAAAAGTTGTTACAGTCTTGATAGAATAAACAAAAATCGTAACTTATTATAAGATAATACGGCTATTTTTGTTTTAAATAATCGAAAAAAAACAACCGGTTGACTCACGTAGTCGAGAAACCAACCAGGTTTAAAGCCGCTGTTGTCGTGTCCTATCTGGATAGAATGCACCTTGCCTACGTTTTTGGCATGGAACTGAAGAAAAAGTAAATTAAAATGTTTAAATAACTATAACGGCGTAACACATATTTTAACGATTTTAACTCCCCCCTTTCAGCCATTGTTTCACACCATCAGAAAAAGCTAGATTCACTAAAATAA